GCCCTGGGGCGCGGGGGGCGGGGAGGCCGGGGGCGGGGCCCTAAACCTCACCTGGGTCTCCGCGCCAGGGTCAGTGTCTGGCTTGAGGCAGAGCCCACTCCCAAGGGACACGATGAGGCTGGGACCCGGGACAGGCTCGGCTACAGGCACGATCCCCCCGGACAGCGGGACGAGCTGACTTCGTCCTGAGCGGGGTCCGAGCGCTGTGTCTGCGCCTCGCCGCCCTCGTGCAGCCGAGGACCGGCGTCTGGGTCTTCCCTCCCTTCCCTGCGGGCTTGCCTGGGGTCTGCGAGTCCCTGCTTGGAGGGGTCCCCTGACTCCGGGATGGCGTTCCCCGTTCCCTGCCACCGACCCAGGTGCATGCCTCAGGGTCCCTAACCGGCCCAGACGGTGCGTTCGCTTGGGCTCCCCGCTGCAGGCTTGCTTTGGAGTCCGCTCTTCAGCTCCTGCGTGGGTCCAGGGCCCCGCCCCCTCCTGACACTTGGGACCCCACCGGGAGCACCCCTTTGCTTCCCCGTGGACTGGAGCCCTGAGCCCCATTCTAGATCAGAGGTCTTAAGTTCCCCGTCTCAGTCTTGGGTCTTGGGCTCTCTCTTCTCCCCCCGCCGCCTATCCGGTGGAAGCAGTATCTCCGTTTTGGGGGCTCTCCGCCCCGCGCGCCAAGGAGCAAATGCTAACCTGTTCTGTATCTGCACCCTCGTTCTGCAGGGTGTCTGCACGTCCGGTTAGACCTCCTCTTCTGCACCCAGCTCTGACTTCTGAGTTTCCCTTTTCCTATCTCTTCCCATATATTGCTCCTTTGAGGGTCCCCATCTAGGTAGTTCCACTGTGGGTGGGTCTCTTTAGGTTTCTGCTACTGCTACCGCTACCCAATTCTTCAGGTCCAGGTTCCATGTCCTGTAGACACTGCCTCATCCCAGCCTGGGGCCCCAGTTAACTCTCTTGGGACAGAACTCAGATCATCCCTGGGATGCGCCTTTCCCCGGGTTCGTCGCCCAAGTGAGGGCCCAGCGTCCTTGTCTTTGAACCTTTTTGCTTCAAAGGTGCATTCGTTTAGGCGCTGCACGCAGTAGCTTGGGGACCCCTGCCCCCTTCATCTCTTCTCTCCATAAAGTCTAGGGTGTTTTCTCCCTACTGGCTCCTCCCTCCTAGCATGCCTTCCTGTCCTTGCCCAATCAAAAGGCAGCCTAGTCCGCCGGCTTCTGTGATTACATGGTTTGCCCCTCTCCCTCCAGCCCCCCACCATCGTCTGTTCCTCTCCGGGCCTCTGGGACGCGATTCTGCCTTGGAGATGTAGAGGTCTGAGCTCTACCAGCGGCTTTCAGGTTTGGAGTTCCATGGAGTCTCTGGAGCCGTGAAATGCAGCCTCTTCTCCGCAGCAGGGCTGCGCCTCTGGACCACCCCTGCCCTGGCAGAGGGAGGGGGCTTCATTCTCTTTTATGCCGTACAGGGCCTTGAAATACGATCTCATGAACTCCTCTTGACCCTCTGGTGGCTGAGCACCCCCCCATCCCAGTTAAATCAGGTTGACCCTGTCTTCAGAGTCTCTAAACGGAGAGACCTCATTCAGGGAGGCTGAGGCTGCGGCTGCGGCACGAATTCCTGGACCCAGACCTTTCTGTCTCCTGGAGCAGTCACTTGTTACCACCTTGAAGTGCCTTCAGTACCTTTGAAACGTCTCCTTTTTCAGGAGCTTTTTCCGGACTGTCATGAACATGGGAGATGCTGTCTTTTGGGCTACACTAGGGGCTAATCTGAGGGGAAAACACAGGGGGCTCCTTGGTAGATTGAGCTCCTTGGCTGAGGTCTTTCACTGGTGGCCCCTGCAGCGGGTTTGAGGGTGAGCTTTGCAGCCTGTGCACAGGTGTGCTTGTCTATGGACAGGACCCTGACTTGGTTTCTCTTGAGTGCCTCAGAAGCCTGAGCAGAAAGAGGGCGAGGCACGGCTGCTCTGCCCAGGCAGCTTTTCCCCCATGTGGGTTCTAAGCAAGCCCGAGGTGCAGCTTGGCTCCAGAAGCTGTTGGGGCCTGGCGCAGTTTATAAACACAGATCTTAAAAGGGGGGGGAGGGCGTGCTCACAGCCAGGGCAGGAAGTGATCCTTGGGGCTTTGGGGCTTTTTCCTGTGTGTCTGTCGTCGTTCACCCCCAAGCCCCAAGGGCTGGCTCCTGGGTGGCAGCACCTGTGCAGAACTTGAGTCACGAGCATGTGGCAGGAGGAGCAGTGTGCTGTGGGCTCGTTCACTCTGGGTGTCCAGCCTGGTGGATGATGTCACGAGGGCCACCACGCACCCCCGCCTTGGTGTGGTCAGCTCCCACCTCGTTGCACTGCCGCCTCCCACCTCCCACCTCCTTGTGGGCTTGGGACTTTCCAGGAGAGAGCCTGGTTATGCCTGCTCCAGGTAGGAAGTCTGGGAGGTGGAGGGGAGCATCTTCCTTTCTAAGCATCCCCTGGCTGCCTGTGTACCTGGGTGTCCCTGTGCCGGCCAGCAAATGCACCCCGCGCGCTGCGTCTGGGTGGACGGAAGGAAATGTCCTCAGCCCCACAGCCACAGAGCCGAACGCTGGCTCTGCCCTTTGTGCCCAGGAGAGCCTGTAGTCAGCTGCTGCTTCCTCCTGGCCTCAGTTTCCTCAGTTGCATAAGAGAGGCAGGTCGTGTGAGGTTTGTGACACCAGAAGACTGCTGGTGTCTGGCACTGGGAGACGTTGGCTTCTCTTTCACTCTGCTGGGCCACTCTGTCGCAGGCTTTGCAGTCAGGACGGCACTTTGGGCCCATGCAGCTCCCTCAACGGGCCAGGGCTCCCAGGGAACCTCGGCTCCAGCTCTCAGGCTTATTCCTGCCTTGGGCCTCACTCTTAAGTGGCCAGGGATGGAAATGCAGAGCCCCTGGCACACAGACCACTGTGTGGACGTGCAGCAGGGTCCTTGATGGCTCTCACCCAACTGGTTTCTTTGGGCTTTGCTGGTGTGTGGGTTTCTGGGGCTGCTCTGGGTCCCCCACCAGCTGTCCACATCTGCTGCGCCCTGTCCCGTCCCCCCGAAGGCTCTTTCTCCACCAAGTTTCGTTCTTCCCAGGCCAGCTTCTGGTCAGCAGAGTTGACCCTGGACCAAGCTGCCCCATTGGCAGAGGACACTGGCTCTCTTGAGATCTTCTACCCCTACCCCAGGCAACGCCAGGTCACACACTGGGACCCACTGAGTTCTGGTTTGCTTTGATTAGCTGGAGAGACCAGGTCAGGTAATCAGTGCCAGATCCTGGCAACCCACAGTTATGGCTTTGCCACCAGCTGAGTTCCCAGCCTGTGTAGCTGCTTAAGGCCTCAGATGAGCTGTTCTCAACCAGGGACCCTGCCTAGGGACCCTGCGTGGTGCCTGAGGACATCGGTGGCTGTCATGCTGGGGTGCTTTTGGCTTGGAGCAGGTGGAGGCTGGGGATGCCACTCAGAGCCCTGCAGTGGCCGGGACACTTGCTATAGGGAATGACCCAGTGCTGGACGCCGGGGGCGAGACCTTGCCCGAGATACGTGGCAGACCCGAGGCCAGCTTGGTGTTGGTGGCTGGTGGAGGGAGGACTTAAAAGTAATAAACTCCTCAATTTAGAGTCAGGCTGGGGTTTCAAGCCGCCTCTCCTCCAGGTGCTCACCCTACCTCAGCAGGGGTGTCTCAGGGATCTGAGTTGGTGTGTGATCGGTCGTCCACCTGGCTTCCTGCCAGGTGGTTATACTAAGTAAATCGTGGTTCTGACCACCTCCGTGGTGTTTGTGGCTCCGAGGGGTTGAGAACTCCTTCCACCAGGTGCTCAACGTGGGCCTGCTCACCTGGTGCCTCTTCCGTGCCAAGGAGGTGGAAATTGTGACCATTCCTGTGAAGGGACCAAGGGTCAGGGAGGCCATCAGTGTGCGCTGGCTGGGACCTGGCAGAGGCTACTTAAGGACAGAGGGAGCTTCCCAGTGTCTGTTTTTGGTTTATTTGGTTTAGAATTTTTTGAGACGGGCTCACTATGTCATCCCAGGCCTCCAATACTTGGTGATCTTGTCTCAGTCCCCCGAGTGTTGGGATGACAGGTATGTGCCACCATGCCTGGACCCCAGTTCTTGCCTTGGCATCTTCAGGCTTGAAGATAGGAAGAGAGAACCTGAAATAGAAGAGGGGGGTCGAGGCGCTTGTGCCGAGTCACAGATGCCTAAGAGAGTTGGAGGACCCCTGAGGGCAGGCGGGCCTCAAGAGCCAGATGCCGGCCGGATCCGTCACCCGCCCACTTGCCCTCTGAGCGGTGTGTATGTGCTTGCTCTTCCTTAGAACATGGTGATGAGCTTCCGGGTCTCCGACCTGCAGATGCTGCTGGGATTTGTGGGCCGCAGCAAGAGCGGGCTGAAGCACGAGCTGGTCACCAGGGCGCTGCAGCTAGTGCAGTTCGACTGCAGCCCTGAGCTCTTCAAGAAGATCAAGGAGCTCTACGAGACTCGCTATGCGAAGAAGAGCGCCGAGCCTGGCCCGCAACCACACCGACCCCTGGACCCTCTCACCGTGCACTCGGCCTACGAGCGGGCCGGCGCCGTGCCCAGGACTCCCCTATCGGGCCCCAATATTGACTACCCCGTGCTGTACGGGAAGTACCTGAATGGACTGGGACGTTTGCCCACCAAGACACTCAAACCTGAGGTCCGCCTGGTGAAGCTGCCCTTCTTTAACATGCTGGACGAGCTGCTGAAGCCCACCGAGTTAGGTGAGTGTCACCAGCACTGCCGCTGCCCGTGCCACATCCCTGCTGTGTGACTGGATGCTGGGGACAGTGGCCCAGGGACCAGCTCTGATGTGGGTAGCACTTGCTTTGTGACCCAGCAGCTTCCAACAATGAGTTGTTAGTTGGGTCTTAGGTCCCAGGGTTCTGGAAGCCACCAGGGCTCAGGTTTTTTTTTTTTTTTTGAGATGGTATCTTAGTGCATTGCCCAAACTGGGTTCAGACAGTCCTCCTGCCTCACCCTCCTAATTGGCTGGGACTGCAGAGGCCTGCCCTTGCACCTGGCTGCTACAGCCTTTCCTGTAAGTAATCTTGGAGGAGACACACCTTCGCTTGGGCTGTGTCCCATCCCCCACACAGAGGCCTTTTAGGAGGAGGGCAGCCTGGAGGGTGTCTTGGAGCTGGCTGCCCTGTGTGTAGTCCCAGTGGGACAGGTGAGAGGCAGGTGACCCTGCCTCCTGTCTGCAAAGGCGTGTTGGTGGGACGAGATGGGCCTGGGCTCCATAGTGCCCCTCCACGTTTTTCCTGTCCTGAGTGTTTGTTTTTTTGTTTTTTGTTTTTTTTTTTGGTTTTTCTCCGGTACCGGGAACCGAACTCACGACCTTGCGCTTGCCAGGCAGGCGCTTTTGCCGCTGAGCTAAATCCCCAGCCCCTGTCTTGAGTGTTGATGGTGTTGTGTGCAGCACTTCATGGTCCCAGGCTCCTGGGCAAAGGGGTCCCCGGCCTCCAGGGCCCCCAGGCTATGAGTGCTGGGCCTGTGGACGGCCCTGGTACAGGCCCTCAGGTATGTCCAGGTTCCTAGGTGTTCTAGGAGACCTCTAGCCCGGTGTCTGTCCAGCTTTCTCTACCAGCCCATGTGGGATGGCACAGCCCCTGCCCTCAGCAGTGTGAGCTCTAGCACTCCAGGGGAGGAGCCTAGGGTCCCACGCCTGTCCTTGGCACCTGCTCTCCAGCCCTGGCTCTTCATGGGTCGGCCCCTGCCTGCCACAGCCCCTTCTCTGCTCTTCCTCCTTCTTGGGCTTGGTGGCTCAACTGCCCCTCCGGCTGACCCAGCATCCTTCCCACCCCCACCCCCGCCTTAAGACTCAGGGGCCCCTCTCTGGCACACACACACTGCAGCTCAGGCCAGCGGGCCACCAGGGCTGCAGCCCCTCCTACCCACCCCCACCAGACTTGGTGAGACTGGGTGGGGCAGCTGTGGTTGGAGGTGGAGCACAGGAGATTGGGGAGAAGGGGCGCTGGTGGCTATGCAGACAGGCTCCGCCCTCTGGTCTGAGCTCCACTTATTTAAGCAGAGACATTTGGGAGACAGCTGGTCTGACAGCACCTGTGGGGACCAAGGCTCGTCCCCAGTTCTTTTGGGCTGGCTTCCCAGGCCTCTGCTCCAGCCCCTGTGGGTGCTGGAAACCAGCCTTCTCCAGTGCTCTGGGGCCTCCTGGAGGAGTTGGGTGGCTCTGAGGTCGAAGTGACTATTTGAATGGCTGAGCATCAGGAGGCTGGGGTTCCGGTAGAGGGGTGACTTTGAACTCTGGTGGTAGCCTGGCCTCCTGCCTGCATGGAGGGCTTCCTTCCTGCAGGCTGAGCAAGCTGCCCGCTCTGCCCTGCCCCACAATACATCACAGTGCCAGGCGAGCGCCCCCCCCCCCCCCCCCCCGTCACCTGATCTCCGGGAGAGCCTGCTCCCCTGTCTGCACCAGGAGCGCTGCTGCGGCAGAACAAAGAGGCTGACCTGCCTTGCTTCCCCCGACCCCACCAACGGGACACACCCCTGCGCTGCACCCCAGCTTCTACCCAGGTCCTGGGTTGTGGTTCCCTGAGCACAGGCTGGGGCCACTAGAGTTGCAGTACCAAGGTGCTGCCCTGCCCTGCCCTGCCCTGCCCTGCCCTGCCCTGCCCTGCCCTGCCCTGCCCTGCCCTGCCCTGCCCTGCAGTGAGATTGGGGGCGCTGGTGTTGCCCAGCTTCACCAGCCCCCATCCCCAAAACAAGGCCTCGTGGTCAGGTCCAGTTCCTCAAAGAAGCCACTCAGGTCCAATTCCCCAAAAGAACCAAGGGGAAGCTCCAGGGCAGAGACCCGGCCAGGCAGACAGGAGCCATAAATCACCCGTGTAGTGCCGGGCTGGGGGAGGGGAGGGATCCTGGAGATGGACGCCAGAGCCCAGGCGCAGCAAGGGCCTTGGGAGACTGACAGCCTCTCTACCAGGGGTCAGGGCTGGCGCCCAGAGAGGTCAGGAGACTCACCCAAGGTCACACAGCAGCCTGAACTCCTGTCCTCCCAGCTTGGCTCCTTCCCAGCAGACTGAAGCTTGCACCAATGCTGGGGGCTGTCCAGGTCGAGGACCCAGTTCCCTCTGTGTGAGAGGAGCCTGGCCAGCTGTCCTGGGGTAGAAGGCCACTGCTGACCTCAGCAAGACACAGCAGTCACAGCAGCCCTGGCCCATGCTTCTGGCAGCCGAGGGTCCCAGGCTAAGAGGTGTGAGAGGAATCAAGGTTGGGGGCAGGACAGAAATGCTGGCTCCGAACTCCTCCCCAGGTCCCCAGCATCCTGTGGTGCCACTCTCTGTCCCGTCAGCCCATGCCATGCAGAGTGAGTGGCTCCGTCACCACGACATCCCCAGTGCCACCTGGAGGTGCGCAGCCCTGGGGCCCCCTTTGTCCCTCATCAGCCAGGAGCCAGGCTGCAGGTTCAGGAGCAGTTTGTTGTACGTCTGGAAGGAAGTGGTTGCGTTTCGTGAGACCTGAGGGAGCACAGCCATTAACCAGGCAAAGAGGAGGGGGCTGGAGCGTGTCCTGGGCAGAGGGACAGCGAGGGCAGAGGCCTGGCGGTGCAAGAGTGCTTGTTCCCAGGCTGAATGAAGCCCATTGTGACCCGTGTGGGTGTCCCGGGAGGAAGGGCGGCAGCATGGAGACCGGAGGATGGTGGGCGCAGCGACTAGTAGGGACCGGGCATCCCGGAACTGCAAAGTCGGTTCCTGTGCACCCTTCCTGTTTTTTATTTTCTGGTGTTCCCCCCACCCTCCGCATTACTGGGGCTGGAACCCAGGGCCTTCCCACTGAGTTACATCCTCAGTGATTGTTAAGTTTTGTTTTGAGACAGGTTTTCTCTGTGTAGTTCAGGCTGGTTTGAACTCACTTTGTAGCCCGGGCTGACCTTGAAGTCCCAGCAGTCTTCCTGTCTCAGCCTCCAAAGTGCTGGGATTACAGGCACGTGCCACCACGCCCAGCCCTATTGTTAAATTTTCTTAAATTTTGAGACAGAATTTCACTAACTTGCTTAGTTGCCGAGGCTGAACTTGAATTTGGAGTCATCCTGCCTCAGCTTCCCATAGTACTGGGATGACACATGTGCACCACCACACTGGCCTGGTGTGTCTTTCGAGGTTGGAATTTTCCCTTCCCATCAGTGAAGAGCTTGAAGGGGCACAGAGGGGTGAGGTCCACGACAGGGTGTGACTGGGCCCACACCCCGTCTGTGGTGTTGGGGTATACTCTGTGGCTGGAGCATGAGTGGCTGCGTGGCATGCTCTTTCCCAGGTACCCAGATGGCTTTGCCCTGACCACTTCCCAGCCTGACCTGGGTCTCTGTGCCTCCTCCTCAGAGTGGCCTCCCCTCATAACCCCATTGCCCCCCTAGTATTCTCCTAGTGCTGACTGTTTCTCCCTGTTTTCTGATTTGTGCTTTCCCGGTACTGGTGTCCGGTGGCTCAGCCATGTCAGACAGGCTGTGGGGCCAGGGCAGGGTGCAGTGTGGAGCTGAGAAGCAGCAGGCAGGAGGCAGGCAGGCTAGCGTGGAGCTCACTCTACCAAGCTCCCCTCTCCACACCCGGCCCTGCCCCAACCCCGCCTCCCACCCAGAAGCAACCTGCACGTGGACGCCAGGGTGAGGCTGGAGGGGCAGCTTCCACACTGAGAGGAGCCCCGGCCTTGTCCCGCAGCCCCCCACCCAGAGCCTGGGGCCACCGTTGCCCTGGCCCTGCCCTCCCAGTCTCCCATCCCTCGGACCACGACCCCACACTGTCCAGGCTCAGGCTGGGGCTTGGCTGGCCTGTGTGCCTGATGCAGTTGCATCAGCCCTGAGGCGGACGGACCCAGATCCTCCATATCCTCTGGCCACTGGAGCAGCAGGGCTAACCTGGGCCCAAGAGGCAAGGAGCTGCCACAGGTGCATTCCAGTCCCATGGGTTACTGAACATCCCTCTCCAACCTACTCTTTAAAATTTCTCACCTAGTATTCTCACCTAGGTGTGGTGGCTCTTGCCTGTAATCCCAGCACTTGGGAGGCTAAGGCAGGAGGATCACTGAGAGTTCAAGGCCAGCGTAGGCTACAAAGTGAGCTCAAGGCCAGCTTGAACTGCGTAGGGAGACCCTGTCTCAAAAAAAAAAAAAAAGAATAAAATTTCTTTGTGAGCTGGGTGTAGTAGTGCACACTAGAAGTCCCAGTACCCTGGGAGGCTGAGGCAGGAGGATTCCAAGTTAAGAGCCTAGCCTGGGCAATTTAACAATTTAGCAAGATTTTGTCCTTTTTTTTTTTTGGTCTTTCTGAGACAGGGTCTCGCCATGCAGTTCAGGCTGACCTTGAGCTCACTTTTCTGTGGCCTCAACCTCAGAACAATCCTCCTGCCTCAGCCCCCAAGATCTTGGCTTAAAATAGAAATAAAAAGGGGCTGAGAATGTAGTTCAGAGTAAGGGCCTTGGTTTCCAGCCCCAGTACTGCAAAAATAAATGCGTTCTTTTTTTTTATTTTTATTTTTTAAATTTATTGTCTTTTTTTTTTTTGAGACAGGGTCTTGCTATGTGGTTCAGTCTGGCCTTGAGCTCACTTTGTAGCCCAGGCTGGCCTCAAACTCGCAGTGATCCTCCTGCCTCTGCCTCCCCGGTTGTAGGATTACAGGTGCATGCCACCACACCCAGCCGTGCTCCTTTTATCTACCTTTTACTTAAACCTTGGTAAAATCACACATCCATCAAAGAAAGTGCAAGCCACCAT